AGCTGTCATTCACTTCATTCTCTTCCACGGGGATCTCCTCACAGTAGCTGAGAGAGGACACCATACATTCCTGTTAACCTTGTTGCCAAGACCGCCAACTATTCTAAGAGCCCCAGATCTGTCCACCCCATCCCAAACTATCGGCTTTCTTGCTTCTTTGCTTTGTGAATGATCTTCCTCAAAACACCACCCCCCTGCTACACTGTTCTCCTGGCGCCTTCTCCCCACCCTGCACCCCCAGCCCCATGTACAATGTCTGGCTCCAAAGTCACCTTTTCTTAGATTTAACCATTCCTAAATACAACCATTATGTGTCTTAAACTATCTTTCGCCCACTGGCATCCCATCCCATCCCAACCTGACCCTTTGAATGAAATAACCGGTCTCTGAACACACATTTTATTTCCCACACAGTGATGAGGATGAGACCCCGGACACGAGGGCCTTTTGTTGATAATGTCCAGATTCTGTATCCTAACTAGTGAACTTCTTTGCCTTGGACGCCTGAAGGGAAACCCTCCTTGAGGTAGAGGTGGGTGTCCTTGTAGGGACACTTCAGGGACGTCACTGTAGCCTTTCCCAAGGAAGCAATCATCACCGTCACCAACATCTTAAACTTTACCTATCGCCCCATCTGGATGCATGACAGCTCTTGAGTAATCTATTATGTGCCTCCTAAAGATAATCAAATAGACAGATGTTCACAGAGATTAAGTGATAACTACCACTAAATGTCGGAAATCCTACCTGAGCCCAGGTCTACCTTCGACACATTCGGTGCTCTTTTCTGGCCTTCTACTGCTCTGTGCCTCACACACCACCACTGGGCCCCCACCTACCCACATTCCCATCTTTCTCAATCCATCGACAGCATGAGATACAACGATGCTTCCTTCTCCCTAAAGCCTCCTTCCCTTGGCCTCTAGGATGCCAGGTCTCCCAGTCTTCCTCCTGCCTGGCTGGCTGTTCTTCTAGGATTTCTTTTGTTGCTTCTCCTTCTTGTTGAGTGTCCCCAAGCTGAGTCCCTGAACTTCTTTTCTTATGTTCATTCAGCCACTTGGTGGCTTCAGCCAATCTCACGGCTATCCACTCATAATTCCCTAATTTACGTCCCTCGCCCACACTTCCCTCGTGAACTCCACACTCACAAACACAAATGTCTATGTGACATCTCCACCTGGCTAACAGTCCTCTGAGACCTAACCTGCCTGATCTTCTCCCCCAAATCTGGTCTATAGTATTGTCCATCTCGGTTTGGAACTTCTCTAGTCTTCCAGTTGGTAAATCCAAGAAAACCTTAAAGCCATTTTTGGTTCCTTTCCAATCTGTCAGCAAATCCTTCAAAATGTATCTGGTTCTACTTTCAAAAATATATTCAGAAACTAACCACTTGCTGCCATTTTTACTGCTACCCTCCTGGTCCAAACCACCTTCACCTCTCATCTAAATGATCTAAATTATTCAAGCCTCTTAGCCTGCCTGCTCTTGCTCCTCCCTGATCTATTTTCAACCCAGGAGCCAGAGTGATCCTATTAAAATGTTAAGTCAGTTATCAATTACCTACTCAAAGCCTTCCCAGGGCTTCCTGTCCCACTCTGAGTGAGAGCCAATCATCAAGTTGGCCAAAAGGCCTTTAGAATCTGGCCCTTGGCCTCACCTCTTCCCGCTTGTGCTTTGTCCATTCCACCCACCCGCTTGCTTTTCTCTCTGCCTGGGAAAGTCTCCCACAGGTAAGCTCATGGTTGACCCCCTCACTTCCATCAGGGCCTCACTTAGACATCACTCCCCGGGAAGGCTGTCCCCACCATTCCAGTCCCTCTTGGAGAAGCTTCCCTCTGCCTTCTCACCCCATAGTGTTGAAGTCGTCATCGGGGGGCACGTAGTCCTCGTCGTCACTGGTAAGGCCCAATTCATTCCCATAGCACTGGTGAACAAAGTGCCAGAGCTCCTTGGGACAGAGGGGCTGCAGGAGACAACAGAGTGACTGTGACCCTTCCTTCCTCAGGACCCCACTCTACATGGAGGCACTGAGTTGAGCTGGACTCCCTTGAGGGAAGGAGAAGCTGGCCTCCATGCTCCTTTGCTGGACGAAGAGGAGAGTAACGCCTCTGTGACAGCTTCCTCCACCTCTTCTTCCCTTTTCCAAGCCCATCGTCAGATACCTATCTTCTGCCAAAAATATGGCTTCAGTAGAGCCAGGAACTTGACCTGTCCCCACAACTCAGGTTTGCATAATGGAACCAACTGGCCCCTTAAGGACGGTAACTATCCATCTTTTGCTCCTATGGATGAGGTCGAGCATTAGGCATCATAAGCCAGTGTTACTCTGGGGCCAAGCTGATCACAGAGCGTCTGATTCGGACTCGGTCCCTTGAGCCAGTCTACCCAACACCTCAGATATCTCTTTATACTAATGCTGGCCACGTAGGCCCTACTGCCTCATGTTCAAGAATGAGGTGTGACCTCAGAGACCCATTCCATAGTTGGACAGTTCTTGTGGTTGGAAAGAAGTCTATATTCTCATAGTTCAAGGGACCTCAAAGGTCATCACATCCAACCCTCTCTTGGCTACCTGAACACTTCCTTCTTTATTGTCACACAGAATCAGTTTGCCTACAGTTCTATGTATTAGTTCTAGTTTCTTATTTCACTGGGTGTCTACAGGTCCTCCTCAAAAGTACTGTCCTCAGAAAAGTGAGCTTGCATGGGGTTCAGATTTTTGGGAAAGAGGCAACAGAATGTGGAAGAACTAAGACTGGATAGACCATGAATGAGTCTTAAACTGGAAGGAAGGGGAGCAGGTGGTAAGGGAAGTATGTGAAAAAGACAGCAAGAGAATTAAGAAAAAGAGAAGCAGTCAAAATACCAAGATAGATTTTTAAGTGAAACATAAAGAATGTTTCCCATCAATAGATGCGATGAAGAATCTGAGAATTCTCCGAGTCCATCCTTTCAAGGTTATGGTTTAAGAAGCAGGTGCTGGGGCGCCTGGGTGGTTCTGTCGGTTGAGCGTCTGACTCTTGATTTTGGCTCAGGTCATGATC